TTCCTCCGGCGGTTTTCCCGTGTCCTCGGCCCACGTCCTATCGCCCGCGCTCTCACCGCCCTCCACGGAAGGGAGGGGGAGGGGGAGGAGAAGGCTGGGGAGGTGGCCANCGCTTGCAGCCGGACAAAATCCCGTTCGCCTTCCGCGTGAGCTCCAGCTGCTTGACGTCGCGCTCCCGCTCCTCATTCAGCACCTCCAACGATGAGTACGCTTGCTGCCACAACCGGATTATCTGCTTCTCGGCTACTTTTTCCTCCGGCGGTTTTCCCGTGTCCTCGGCCCACGTCCTATCGCCCGCGCTCTCACCGCCCTCCACGGAAGGGAGGGGGAGGGGGAGGAGAAGGCTGGGGAGGTGGCCAGTCCGGAGGGCGTCCTGGAGACGCTTGATGTGTTGCTCGTTGGCTGCAACGTTTGCCGTCAAGTCTTTGATCCGGCCGCCGAGGTAGGCTCCACGTTGATCGAAGGCCTTTCGAAGCTTTCTGTCTCTCCTTCTCCAACCCCGCTCTATCGAGCGTTTTTCGCGGCTGGTGAGCATCTGCTGCATCGCAAATTCCGCGCGGGTCGCGTCGGAGCCAGCCCGCCGCTGTCGCTTGAACTGCCGTTCCTGTGGTCGGCCGATGATCCCGAGGCTGTTGAGCGATTTTCCTGCTTGAGCGGCGGTTGGGAGTTTGAAGTACGAGGCAGTGCGGCACATTGTTATTCATCGTTTTGCACTACAGCAATACTTGCAGCAAGTATTTCAGAGTTGGAGATCACCCAAGTAGTACGTGATGTGCAGAGGTGCAACAACCGGTCAACCTTTCGCGAAAGTGTGACGACATCGGCGCATTTTCATGCAGAGTTTTACTTTCAGACCGAAGTACGACACATGATAACACACCCCCTGGGTCGATTTCCACAGCTCGATTACTCCACGACGAAGAGGATGCATGAACAACACGATACGTTTCCGGAGAGCTCTCGACAAGACAGCTTCAACACCGCCGTTTTCGGCGCTGCGACTCGTTCTGCTGGTGATGAATCGAGCTTTCAAAATCCGTCCAGGGGATTTCCTCCGGCGGTTTTCCCGTGTCCTCGGCCCACGTCCTATCGCCCGCGTTCTCACCGTCCTCCACGGAAGGGAGGGGGAGGGGGAGGAGAAGGCTGGGGAGGTGGCCAGTCCGGAGGGCGTCCTGGAGACGCTTGATGTGTTGCTCGTTGGCTGCAACGTTTGCCGTCAAGTCTTTGATCCGGCCGCCGAGGTAGGCTCCACGTTGATCGAAAGCCTTTCGAAGCTTTCTGTCTCTCCTTCTCCAACCCCGCTCTTTCGAGCGTTTTTCGCGGCTGGTGAGCATCTGCTGCATCGCAAATTCCGCGCGGGTCGCGTCGGAGCCAGCCCGCCGCTGTCGCTTGAACTGCCGTTCCTGTGGTCGGCCGATGATCCCGAGGCTGTTGAGCGATTTTCCTGCTTGAGCGGCGGTTGGGAGTTTGAAGCACGAGGCAGTGCGGCACATTGTTGTTCGTTGTTTTGCACTACAGCAATACTTGCAGCAAGTATTTCAGAGTTGGAGATCACCCAAGTAGTACGTGATGTGCAGAGGTGCAACAACCGGTCAACCTTTCGCGAAAGTGTGACGACATCGGCGCATTTTCATGCAGAGTTTTTACTTTCAGACCGAAGTACGACACACGATAACACACCTCCTGGGTCGATTTCCACAGCTCGATTACTCCACGACGAAGAGGATGCATGAACAACACGATACGTTTCCGGAGAGCTCTCGACAAGACAGCTTCAACACCGCCGTTTTCGGCGCTGCGACTCGTTCTGCTGGTGATGAATCGAGCTTTCAAAATCCGTCCAGGGGGGTGTGTTATCTTACGTCATATACGGCAGCACATCGTTGCAGCATACACATCGGGGTGTACAGGCACCATATTGTAGCAAAAAATGTTGTGCGTACTGCTTTAGGCGCCTCTAGTACCAGAACAACAGACGAGTAATGAAGGCAACTCATGTGACATCCGACCAGTAGATGCCGAGATATGCCCTCCCACGGGGGTACAGTGCCACCGTAGGGCGGTGGCGCATATAAGTATAAGCTGAGCCCCCTTTTTCGAGCATAACTTTCCAACGACCGAATGGATTTTGCTTCAAGTTGGCTTGTATGATTGCTATGGGTCATAGCTACACCACAATTTTTAGTTTGTGCCAATTGAAGCTCTGTGGGCGGAGATAAGAGCGGTGGCGCATATAAGAAATTGCGCCACCGGTGGCGTAAATAGACAAACCCTTCTTCGTTGCCCTGTCTCCTTTCCGGCTTGTGAACATGAGCCGTAGCCGCCACTTCCCCTTAGACCTCTCTGGATAGCATACGGGTTCAGAGGTTCTCTGCCAGCCATTGCGTGTGACTGCTGCTACTAGGCTCTCCATGCTGTGCACTCCTCGGTGCCAGCGGGTGCTGTGTGCATCCGTTGTGCACAATTTCAAAAAAAAATGAAATTCCGCCCCAAAAAAAAGCGTTTCATATTTTTTTTCCCCAGTTTTAAACCCAGATAAAATGCGGAGGGTTATCTTTTTTGGAGAGAATGTGTTCTGAAATAGGCCTGTCCTCCATCGGCCGTTTTATTTTCGATTTAGATACACAAACTTTATTTCTGTACTAATTTCAAGTAATTCCACCTTCTTATTCTCCGTCATACAAGCAAAACGGCCGATGGAGGACAGGCCTATTGTGTTCAACACGATTTCGAGAGGCATGGGCAAATCCGCTGTGATTGGCTGATTGAGCAGATGTGCCGAGCTCGTTCCAATTCTGATTCCTTCAAAATTTATGGCTGGAAGACTGAATGTTAGCTTCTTGGCTGGCCCAGCTTGTACAACAGCAAGGACCAGTGATTCGCATGCTGTCCTACCGTCAAGTAATAATCCAGATGGGTCACAACGCACCACCAGTTCCACGGGAACGCACTCCCGATCAGCTACGTCGTGTGTTGCTGCTGGAAATGCGGGCGCCACAGCCTTGACGACGCCGAGGAACATCTCGTAGGAGACTCGGAAAGCACCGACGAACTGCCGTGCCTCTCGGCTGTCCTCGTGAAGTCCACCCTCCGAAGCATGCAGCTCTGCGAGTTTCCCTGGCCACTGTCCCCAGGGCGACTTCATGTACACGACTTCATGTACTCTGGCCGGGGATAGGACCGCCGTTGCTGCTTTGCCTTGGGTTCCTCCTCCTCTTCGAGTGCAGCAGCAGCAGCAGCAGCAGCAGCGCACTCTTCCTCGAATGCCTCTTCTTCTAGGATCAGCCCCATCATGATCGAACAGGCTGCAGCTGCTGCTGCCACTACCGTCTCTTCTGACTGGTTGTCGATGCTCTCCATATTTGGTGTGATATGCGTCAGTGTGGAGCTCGAGGACGTGGGTATGTGTTGTGGGTTGTGACACAGTGTGGTGCGCGTCGGGGTGGGGCTCGCGTGCGCGTGTGTTTGTTGTGTAGTGGGTTGTCGGACCCTGCGACCCCGTCACCCCAGCGCACGNGTGTGGTGCGCGTCGGGGTGGGGCTCGCGTGCGCGTGTGTTTGTTGTGTAGTGGGTTGTCGGACCCTGCGACCCCGTCACCCCAGTGCACGGCGGAAATAATACAACAACAAACCCGAACCGGTATAATTCCCGCCGTGCAACATTTCTCGCGCCTTCCCGACTCGGGAAATGTTGCAAAACTTTTTGGCCAGATCGCAACTTTTTGCTCATCGAGAAAAGTTTCAAAACTTTTTGTGCAACTTTTTTTTGCTCCCATACTGGGCGTACATTTGGAATGTTGCGAGAAAAGTTGCAGAACTGCAACTTTTCTTGCAACATTTGTGAGCCATAGAAACCGGTAGAATCAAAGAAAAAACATGAAATGTGTTGGATACGGCACGACAGAAAAAAGGCCTGACGACGAAACAGAAAAAGAACCCTAATGTATGCGCATGCCGGAGGACGGCGGCTCGCAAACCTCGCCATTACAAACACCGTCGACAGAGATACAACAGATGCGGCCGACAACGCATCTTCACTTGAAAAACAAAGCTGACTCTCCTGTCATGCCCCCAGCGCACGTTGCAGCTTCCCAACAACGGGAGAGTGTCAAACCAACGCATAAGAAAGGAGCCCCAAGACTTTTCCAGAGTTATGGAAGTATCATTTACCCATGCGCCGGGTATCATGCTTCGCCCACCCGAAAATAGAGTTAGGAACCCCCTTCAACCGCGAGTTGAGGTGAACATTCCCGATTCTAGCATCACACGCGCCGCCTCCAGCGGTGATGATGCCTAGAGGACGCACGAAGCGCCGACTACACTCCGGCCGAGAGCAGCGTCAAAATCTTGGAAGACCATGGGCGTTTCAGGCGGGATTTTCCCGCTTCTGAACCCCGCCCGCGCCCCCCCTCCAACGTGCGGAGATGCAAATCGTTCGGTGACCGTGAAAAACGAAAGCAAGCAGTGTGTAGCCTACCTCCGCACGCCATTACCCATCAAATTTGCTGCGACACCGGCAGCAGCAACAACAGTAGAACCAGTCGCTACAAGAGCGTGACGACGTCGGCAGACGTCGGCCTCCCAACCGACAAGAAAAAAACACGCGAGCCGCCCGACTCACGCGTGAAAGCATGACCTTCAGGATACAAAACTGCAATGCTACATCCGAAAAGCACAAACGAGCACCACTTACCACTCACCGGGATGCTCAACACGAAGGGGTATAGGAGCCCCAAACACGAACGAGAAAACGCTGGCATCAAGCAGGCCCAGGACACCAAGGACACACAAAACGGCAAGAAACGCGCGGAATAGCACGCACATAATATAGAAACGAGAGCAAACGACAACAGCAACGAAAGAAAGATCAAACTTCCGTGCCGTGCTCATCGCCTTGATACCAGGTCCCCCACCGTAACCCTCGCATGACATCATCAAAAGTAAGGTGGGTGTAGCGAGACATGAAAAATCATTACCCTGCAAGCCCCCCTGCCCCCCCCCGACAGCTTTTCGCGCCAGTGGCTGGCCCGGGAGAAAGACACAAATCGCCACCATCGTCTCTTCTCGGGATGGACCCTACTCAGACGTGCTTCGTCTCTTCTTGCTGCTGCTGCTGCTGCCGCTTGAGCCTCTCCTCTCGCTCCACGAGGATCTTCTTCACCGCCGCGGGCGGGTCGAAGCCTGGTTGCAGGTGGATGTCACCCTTTTCGAACAGCCCGAAGCCCTCGACACGGGTGGTCTTGCTCTTCTCCTCCTCGGAAGCTGCGGTGCCCTTGGGGCCGGACTTCATGGTGCTCGTGTCGAAGAAGTCGGAGAAGTCGTAGCCCTGGCAAAACACACACCGACAGCAGCGATAATTCTTGTATTAGCGAAGTTCGTTTGGGTCTGCTTTTCGGGTGAATACATACGAGTGCTTTCAACCAGACCCTCCCGGCCAGGCCACCGTGTTTGGCAGCCCCCAACGGAGAGGAACCACTGACTGAAGAACGAGGCATTTGAAGCAACTGCCCTTCCTTCGTCTCGGAATTTCATTCTACTCCATCGTGTACAGAACCAGTAGCAACGAAACACAGGGGGCAAAACCATACGCACCATTTCGGAGCAGTGCGACCACTCGAAGTTGTCGTAGATGAAGGGCAGGGCGTTCTCGCTGGGGTCAAAGAGCTTGATAAGCATCCGGTTTTGCATCGTGTTCGGGGCCTTCTTGCCGTAGAAAGTGAACTGCGGCGTGATGACGTCGGACATGATGCCGTACGGGAAGATGTCGCTGCCTCGGTGACCGTTGCACTGTGTGACGGTGGCAACGACAACGAGAAAACGGCGGGGGAAGAGGCAGGCGGGTTGAGCAACGAAAACACAGTAGGGCATGCAAAGGGGGGGCAAGACGCAACGGAAAATCGATCTACAAACAAGATTATGCATCACACCCAAGGACGCCTACACAGGCGGCAAAAAATAGCATGTCGTGATACATGGCAACAACATGCTCAAATATCCGAATGTAGCAAAATTAGGAAACGTACCGTATCAGAGCGCGTCGAAATGATGACGTCGTACTCCACACCGTCCATGCCAACCCACGACCCAACTTCGTCGGGCCACGAGTAGTCAGTGAAGGTTCCAGCGAGGAGCTTGAAACTACGCCGCCGCAGCAGGCATCAACAAGCACGAGAAAGCATCGACATGAGGGAGAGTTGACATGAAACCACCACACTGTCGATAATGAAAAAAAAAAAGTTCGCCTGCGGGAAAATAATGACGTGATCGATGTTATTCTTCGAAGTCCTACCAATTGAACAACGCAAGAGCGCACGGAGTTGGGCAACAAGCAACATTTTCTCGCGCGACACCATTATCATGATAATACCGAAAGAGCAATAAAAAAAAGAGTACTTCTCAATTGCTCGCGCATTAGTTCGCCAAAAAAAACTGCGAAAAAGAGAGAAATCGTTTTCGGTGCTCACACTAAGAGTCGTTCCATGGTCGGGTGCATGGACCAGAAGGTGGGGTCGAGCGGGCTGCTCGACTGGGAGGACTCGCCCATCCCGACCTCTCCGTTGCACCATTGCGTGGCCAATATCCTCATCTCCTCCTCTGTGAACTCCTGGTCGAACGTGTAGAACGACGTGAACGCGGTCCAGACCTTCTTGTAGTCGTCGCCCTGAGGGGTAACACGTCCAAGAAGGGTCGTTGGCGCCGGTAAGGAGTTAGCGTTCTGTTCATTGTTGCCCTGTTGTACCCATTTGTCGGGTGCCCTTTGGCACGTTGCTAGAGTGGTACTGACGGCATTTGAATCTGTCTCACAAATGTGTTTGCTTCTATTTCGGGGAGAGAGTCTCTCGCCGCCCGCAAGGCAGCGCCACACACACGCCACACACGCAAGAAGCGGCAGGACCTATGTAGGGAATTTTGCACGAGAAGCGGCAAAAAAACATGTGCAACGCACCTATCAACCGTGCTATGAATGCTTAATTATTGACGACGGTCCTTCACAAAGGCGTGGTCGTTTCTACTATGAAAGCGAAAGATTGCCGTCTAACAGAAAAAAAGAAACACAAACCTCGACGAGGTCGTAGTCCAGGCAGCCGCATTGCCCGCTAGTCATGACGTCCTCTTCCGACACGCTGAAGTCTGCGAAGCCCCGGCACTTGAACACGGCGTCGCGGAACATGTCCTTGCGCTTCACGAACAAGTACCCGGACATACTCAACCGGTACTCCTCTCCCACGATGGCCATAACCTTGTCGAGATTTTTCTGTTGGGCGTATTGGGGGTCAATTGTGCGATGGGGTGGGAAGAAACAGGGGGGTGCCGTGGGGACATGATATTAAGGAGACGTGGCGGCCAAGCACACGGTTCGCTACAATATTGGCAGATTGGCGGAAACGAAGACGGCGCCGCCGTGTAAAGGCAACGAACGCGATGGCTAGGTACATGACAACGATAGCAGCATATCGGTCGACCGACAGTTGTCGTGCCTACAGACCTGTTGGGAACGGTACGTGCTGATCCGAGGGGGGTGACTGCGAGGCGGGCGGTTGGGTGGTCACTTCTTCTCCGCACAGACGACGTCGGGGTTGGTTTATGCAACCGGCGACAGTTTTCTCAGCCACCATCTCTCGCGGGAGTTGCACCCCCAAGTATGTGAAGGGTGCTTATCGCAATACTATCATCTCTACCCTCGCAAAATAAAAAAACATGACTAGAAACAACTTCTACGTTCAATGCGTATAGTAATGTATATAGTTTTCTTCGCATATTTACGCAGTTTTCAGATACATGGGTTCGGCACACAATCCTTCTTGCGGGGACGAACCTTGCAGTCGACGTTGCCGCCAACCCAGACGTGGACGGGACCGTGGGGGCCGTACTGAGACCACCACGTGTAGCCGTAGTACGAGTTGAACTTGTCCTGGAGGTCGTAGTGGCTAGAACATCCAGGCCAAGAGTCTGCGGTGCGAAATCGTGGCCAGGTTCGGACGGGCGATGCCCAGCGGGGCAGCGGAGGGAGGACGTTAAAAAGTCAGCAATTCTCACGCGGGCGGGGAGAGAGATCAACATGCCAACCGAAGTGCTTTCCAGTCGCCAAACAACTACTTTTCGAGTTCACAAAAACCCTGACCGACGAATGCATGTACATCTGAGTGACACCCCGACAGAGATTTCAAACAACACCAACTGAGAAACACAGCAGCAGCGCCGCACGCCTACACCAGTGATATAAATTAAAAACTCACAAAACTCCGTGCTGTCGAGCCCGCACATCTCTCCCAGCCCGCGCGTCAGGTAAGGCCGGGAGTTGACGTTCCAGGGAGACCGCATTCGTCCGTAGACGTCCGCACCCAGGTAGTTGCGCTTGTCTTCGTCGACAATGGGTACCGGAATGGAGCCCCAGCGCCCATCCTTCACCTGTTACCGTTCGCAGAAAAAACGAAAAAAGATCAGCGGGTGCGCGTGTGTATGTAACGCGGCGCCGACACCACCGTCAACGCTTGAATCATCGAAGGTGTTTCACAATAGGAATGAGTTGAGTTGTGTTGTGTTTTTCATCCTAATCATTATGGCGACAGTCTCCCATTTTTCGTGGTGAGACGTGTACTACACTTTTCAGCGTATGTAGAGTAGCATGCCCCACCTTCCTCCTGCGGTGCGTGCTGAATTTTCTTTTTATTGCGAGAAGGGTCCAGCCGTCCCTTTCCCTCGTCAACAGTGCTAACGTCGAAGTTTGGTACTCACGAGAGCTTTTTAGCTATGTTTCGCTTTCACCCGCAAATTTCGTAAATTTTTCACCCCTGGGGATTCGAACTCACGACCTCTGCGACTGGCGGATTACGAGGATACCACTAGACCACCGGGGCGACCGGTGAGTGCGGGGGGGTGTACTCATAGTTGCGCATGCCGCACTAGACCGTTGACCTCGCATCCCTACAAAGCCGGGACGGAGCACGCCGGGTTCTCACCGGACCAGGCTCTCACATCACCAAGCGCTAAGCGCCGCGAGGTATTCGGCGAGTCGCATGAAGGGAGCGCTGGGCATCCTGCTAACGGTGTTCGGCATCTTGTGCTTACTTCCTTGCGGGTGACAGCTGCGTATGACTTAATTTATTTTCTGGTGCTTCACTTCCAGAGACAGGTATAAGCGCTTTATAACTTCCTCGAGGGTGCTTGACTATTTTATCACAACGTGGTGCGATAATCCCCCTTGCGCGGATTGAGGGTTCTCGACCCCGCACAACATAATCTACTCGACCACCGATATGGTTACCGCCAAAAAAAGAACGGTAACCTGGTTGCCCAGTTCACAAGTGAAATGGCTTGTTCTACAACGTCGTTGCCAAGCGAAGAAAACCCAATCCCGATGGCAAACACCGGGGGGGGGCGGCTTGTTTTACAACGTCGTTGGGGGAGGTACTTCAACCTACTTTGAGCAAAATAATCTCAGGAGCGCCAGAGCAGCAAAAATAACGGCTACAAGAACAACGGCCAACTGAAACCACCCCCACAGCAGTGTGAACAAGCAGCTCCTGGCAAGCAAGCCATTGAAGCAACTCCAGCAGACGATGAAGACGACTACGACAGCTACCTGGTAATCCCTCTTGTCGACGCCGCCGAACCAGTCCGCAGTCCAAAGGGGAGAGGCCTCAGTCAGCCTGGTGTAGTCGCCGCCGAACTCGCGGTCGATCACGGCGCCCTCGATCGTGAAGTCCCAGTAGGGCAAGCTGAGCATGGGGTTCACCAGCTGCAGGCTGTTCTCGAACATCATCGTCACCATGGAGTGAGTGACGCCGAATCCGATGCCGTCTTATGTGTAGCGGGTTGGTTTGACCGGCGAACAGAACGCGCCAAGCGCGGCAGCAACAGCAAATCAGCAGTTTGTCAAGGTCGAGATACATCGGGTTTGCAAGTCAAGATGCAGCCTGCCTTGGTGCACTACATACACAAGCATGTTGGAAGGAACGAAACCACCACCACCTCCCGCCTAAACGGCGTGGGTGGAGGTCCTCTATTCTACCACGATTCTGAATACGTTGCACTGCTGGCACGCTGGTACTGCTGTACGCTGTGCCGACCAGGTATTGGGAGACATAAATACAAAAACAGAATGTAGTCGCAGCAAGCCGTATTGCTGAGGGTGGAGGTCTCGCGGGAGGACACGCGCTGACGACGCTTTCGAACTTCACGTGAGCACGTCTTAAACGCACAGATGGTACACTACCATCACAACCACGACGCTATCACCGAACTGCGGCACCAACAACAACCTCATCAGGACTCACCGTGAAGGTGATCGCAGTCAAGGTCCGACGCTCCGATTTGGTGGAACTGATCGATGGTCCACACATCCAGGTAGTCCGGTCCGTACAACACCTTCCCTTCGTCGATGCCCACGTCCCACAGCACCTTGACGTGTTCGCGAGTAGGGGAAACAGGAGGAGAGCGTTCGAGAGGACTGCTTGCGCACACACCGAGGCTCATCAGAAGTGCCAAAATAAAAAAACGCAAAAATGAGGACGACAAGAGGAGGGGTGTGTGTGTGTGTGTGTGCTCATAGCCGTGCATGCCGTAGTCGTTTGACCATTGACCTCGCATCCCTCCAACGCCGGGACGGAGCACGCCGGGTTCTCACCGGACTAGGCTCTCACATCACCAAGCGTGAAGCCCCGTGAGGTATTCGGCGAGTCGCATGAAGGGTGAGTTGCATCCTGCTAAGGGCGTTCGGCATCTTGTGCTAACTTCCTTGCGTGCGGATGACAGCTGCGTATGCCTTAATTTATTTTCTGGTGATTTCACTTGCTGAGACAGTTGTAATCACTGTGCAACTGCCTCGAGGGTGCTTGACCATTTTAACACAACGTGGTGCGATCATCCCCCTTGCGCGGAGTGAGGGTTCTCGACCCCGCACAACATGATCCACTCGACCACCATAATGGTTACCGCCAAAAAAAAAGCATATGTAGAAAAAAAAACGGTAACCTGTTTGCCGAGTTTACGAAGTGAATTGGCTTGTTTTACAACGTCGTTGCCAAGCGACGAAAGCCCAATCCCGATGGCAAACACCGGATTGGGGGGGTGTACTCATAGTCGTGCGACAAGAGGAGGGAGAGGGAAAATACAACCCCTGCCGGCGAAAAAAGGCCAAGAGACCTTGTGTAGTGTCGGAACACAACATCTTCGATGTACGGGAATGTGAGCGGGCGCAAGCTACGCCAAAGCAAGGTAGGTGTAGGGAAAGAGTCCCCGCCCCCAGAAAAAAGCGTGCACCAACGAACGAACCAACTTCAAAGCATCGACATAACCTCTTGAAAAAGCATTAATACTTGGTAGTCCGGCGTACGTCTCTGGCGTGATGCGGCTTGTGTGAAATGCATTCCCCGACGAAAGATAACATAGGAACAAGAAAAAAACAAAGAAGCAAGCACGTGAATATGTATATTGTGCATGGATGCATCGTATATCATGTTTCGATATTTTCTAATGCTTGTGCCCATCTTTTCTCTCGGGGCAGCGAGTTCTTTCGCGCGTCGTTATGAGAGATGCGCACGGGGCTCCTCGGTACAATATCACGAATCAGCATGCCCGAGGACTGTCCGACGAGCCGTCCGTGGCATGCGCAATCGATGCCTAGTGCTTTTGTAGAGGCAGGATCTATTTCTCGGGGTGGCTCCGAACCAACGACAGCCTCCGCGGGAACTACAAAAATATTTTGACTGTTGCTCAACAGGCGCACTTCTATTAATAGTTACTTCTTCTCAACATGAAACCACGTATCATACCCACACAGTAGCAAGACGTTACAATACCAGAAGAGAGAATCGAGCAACGGCAGCGGGATACAGCAGAAGGATGTGCGGGGGCAAAGCCGCCACTAACGCGGAGCAATGGCTACGCACAACGCGCGCCCACGCGAAAGCGATGTCAAAGTTTTTCCGCGCACCGCGCATCACATGATGCGACCGTCACTGTCGACTCCCTGCATGGAAACCAGCACTTGTTGAGAGATGACAAACGACAAACCATGAAAACACTGGGCATGCTCTCTGATGCATACATCGCCTCAAGCCACCCAACTCCTGCAGGAATCTTGCAGTCATATCCACACCAGCAGCAGCACCAGCAGCAGTGTGCGGTAGAAAATCGTGCTACTGCACGGTTTTTGTGAAGGAAGAAAACACAACCCACAAACGCGGACTTTTACAGCAGCGGTAGTGCTCTAGGTGACCAAGTGCCTCAGCGGGAGAAGCAGTATATTTTGCGCCTGCCTCCGGCTGCGCTCACTTCGAGTTGCTCCGAAAAAGCTGCACGTGTCATACGCAAGTCGTGTGCACTGTCAAATGTGCCGGAACATTGTCGTTCGGGGAAACCTTATCCCGCAACGCGTACAGAAGACAGAAGATAGGCCCTTCCCCATTCTGCTCCTTTTCGGCAAGCATCTGCTTCAAAAGTATTATCTGCTCGTTGGTTTTGCTCCTATTCGGCCGTGATGCCCCCAACTATGCTCGTTATTTTGGGCCAATTTCGCTCTTTTCTGCTACTCTTCGATGGATATGCCCTCACCTTATGCTTGTTTTTTCCCGTGTTTTTTTTTTTTGGTCTCCCATCATTGGATTCTGTCGTCTGCCCCTCTGGCCCCTATCCTCCACTTCTACCAGCTAGATGACCCAACCGGGGTCACATAGGAGGGGGGGGTTGTACCCCCTCCTGCGGTTCCTGCCTGAGACATGTTATCGCGAGAAGGGTATAGCAATCCCTTCCCTCGCGACTTATGAAGTCTATCAAGTTTACTAACAACGAGCTTTGCAGCGCGTCGCTTCCAACGGAGACCAGGATTTAATTAGCGAGAAAAAATTCACTCTGTCGGGACTCGAACCCATGACCTGGCCCTTAGCAGGCTGCGAGGCTACCCACTAGACCACCGGGGCGACCGGGTATTATGTGATAGAGAATGGAGAAATGGGCTGTAGAAACGATTGCCCCAGTATTTATTTATTTTTTGTCTAGCATCGTTGGACTCTGTCGTCTACCCCTCTGGCCCCTATCCTCCACTTCTACCAGCTAGACGACCCAACCGGGGTCACATAGGAGGGGGGGTTGGACCCCCTCCTGCGGTTCCTGCCTGATAATTTTTATCGCGAGAAGGGTACAGCAATCCCTTCCCTCGCGACTTATGATATCTATCAAGTTTACTAACAACGAGCTTTGCAGCGCGTCGCTTCCAACCGCGACCAGGATTTAATTAGCGAGAAAAAATTCACTCTGTCGGGACTCGAACCCATGGCCTGGCCCTCAAAAGGCTTCGAAGCTACCCACTAGACCACCGGGGCGACCGTGGTTATGCTCTCACGAATGCTTGTTTTGGGCATGTATGCCTTTTGCTCCTTGCTTGTAGCTTCCTCGATATCTGCTCTTTGCCTTATCGACCCCCTCGCGTACCACCGAATGCTGTGAAGTGGCTCAAGGCCTAACTCTACCGAATTGCTCCCTTTTCAGCCATCTCCGGCACATGTAGGCGCCTAATTGGTTGTTTACACAGCATATCTGTTCATATTGTTGGTAAATCGGCTCCAGAAACAGGTTGTTCTGCTCGAGCATTGCTGGTTTTGCTCGACCAGATGTTGAAAATGGATCTGCTTATGCCTATGCTATTTGTGGCCAAATCTGCTCTTTTTTCTGCCAGCAGAATGGGGAAGGGCCTAACAGAAGACCCGCGTCGAAGGATACAACACCCTCCGGGCCGATAGATGCGCTGCCTCGCTGATTAAACAAGCGACCGATAAACACGACGTACAACTCAAGAAAAAAAACACCGCACCAAGAGGTGCGTTCCTCCGATGCTACCGCCGCCGCTGTGCAGCGAAAGCAGTGGGTATAAACTCCCGACAGCAAACATACACACATGACCCACGCACGCACGCACCTTCATGGCATCGAACATCTGGTCCCGCTCGTCGTCGAAGAGCGACCTGATCTCTCTCCGCACGTACTTGCTGAAGACCTCGACATCCGAGCTCCGGACCACCGCCGCCTCCTCCCCGGCGTCCCCTCCACCGCTCCCGCTCGCCCGCTCCTCTAGAACCACCTGGTACTTGGGCGCCCGCTCGAACACCACGTCGACCGACGGCCCGGCGTACTCCGCGGGCGTCTCCTCCTGCTCGTCGACCTCGGTCACCGGCCTGACCGTCCACGAGTACACCATCCCTTCTTTCGGAGAGACCACCTCCAGGGTCGTGGTTCGAAAGGGCTCCACCAGAATCCGGTCCTGATTGTTTTTTTAGGGATTGGGTGACCCATCCCCATGCCACACAGCAGTAGTAGTCGCAGTAGCAGTGGTCGAGCACCAGGGACAGAGGGAGAGAGAGAGGTTTCGTTGCGTTGTGGTGGTGGGCGGCGTCTATCGTAGAACGGCATAGTCATTTCGTGACGCGACTCAGGGTTTGTTCGAATGTGTGAACATTCCATGATCGAGAGCGTGCAACAATATCGTGATAATTGAGCAAAGCTCTGCGAGTAGTTGAGGGCGTTATCGTCTGATCATTCGCTAATTTGTACTGCTGCTTCGGCTGCGCTTGTGCACAACAATAAACGAAACCATGGGCAGGTGCGCATCTCCCGACCCATACACGAATCTGCTACGCAGTTGTTCGCTCGCACACCACAGCAGCACGTGTGTGTGACGCGAAACGAACAACCGTGACGTTTGGATTTTTCGGACAATTATCCGCTATTTCTGCAAAAAAAAGTCGTCCCCCGCATCCTCGCACCTCCATCATGGATATCTACAACACAAGTAAGAAGGGGTTAGCTCACCTGAAGCCAAGGGTAGCCCAGCCCAATGATATCGCCTCGCCGCGTGTACTCGTTCGAAGCAATGAAGGATAGATCCATCCCCCCGCTGTCGCCTCCCGCCGCTCCCGTTGTGCCGCCGGACACATGCGGTGAATCACTTCCTGGTGTTGTTACGGCGTCTTGCGCCAGGTTCTGGTTGCCGCCGCCGGACGGGGAATCGATCAGTTGATCTCCTGCAGTAGGAGCGGTGGAGCTGGGCAGCCGAGACGCGCTGAACAAGCCCACGCCCGCGACGACGGCGAACGACGCGACGCCCAGCCGTAACAACGGCCATCGCCGCTGCCTGCTGCTGGGTCCGGAGGAGCCAGGTAGGTCAGCCCCTGCTCGGTATTCCTCTCCAGCCGCACCTCCCACGGACCCGTAGCCGGACCCGCGTGTTCTGTTCCCCGCCATCACTGGGGATCTTTACGGCACGGTAATGCAAGGCAGGGAAGAGGTACCTGCGCAGGTAATGGTCGAATGCCTGGCGCAACAGACAGGTCTGTTGTTCGGGTCACGATTGTCTTCGGGGATCAGTTTGCTCATCACGCATTTTGGGAGAGCTGTCTGGTGTTGTACTGTGTAGTAAGGCTTTTTCTTTGGGTGATACGCAAAAAAAACAAAATGGCTACGGAACGTTCCAGGAAAGAGACTATTGGATAGTGTTTGTTGTTGTTTCTCGCATTTCCTCTCAAGGTCCACAAAAAATGGGAAGCCCGTGGTCTCAAAACCCGGCACATACGACGCCGCGGGGAAACAAAACCAAAATGTGTTTGTGTAGTGTTTTCGTTCTATTTATTATGGCGACAGTCCCCCCATTTTTCGTGGTGAGACGTGTACTACACTTTTCAGCGTATGTAGAGTATTACACTTTTTCAGTGTATTTTTTCGTACAACTACAACCATCCAGGGTTACACAACGTGATGACGGTCATGCAGATTTGTTCGGCGACCGGCTGTGATGTGATAGGACTTCAGGTCTTCAGGAGACCCGACGAGAGGGGCAAGGTTCAATTGCACACGACGGGTACGTGATCATCTGGAGTGGCGCCCGTGCTGGCACCAAGGACAAGAGGGGCGACAAGAGGGGCGTATACGGTGTGGGCATAGCGATCAAGGAGGCCATGTGGGAGAGTGTGGGCGAGGAAGGTAGGACGGTGGAGTGCATTAGCCCGAGGCTGATGAAGGTTGTTGTTGTTGTTTGTCTTCACATTAAACCGTATGTCAGTTGCTAAATGCCAAAATCTAGCAAAGACTCTCGGCCCGTGGTCACGAAAGTGCTGGAGCCATCTGAGGATCTAAAGAACACGCACACGTAGCAAGAAAAAGGTGTACAAGAGCCCGAAGAGGTACTACTACACCTATATATAATCCCTGCAGCACCGTACGCGTGCCCAAAACTGAACTACACGTCCGTCTCACCGTTCGACTACAGTAACATCACCCCCTACCTGTCCCACTCTGTACCAAAACGAATGATTGCCGACTACAGCATACTTGCTGTCTGAAGTGCTGTCTGTACAAAAACACCATGGTAGGCATGGAACAAGAAGCTGGCGGGGCACAAAGCTGCTGTCTGAAGTGCTGTCAGAATGTGTCTGCGGACGTACAGTGAAAAAGAACAACCAACCAAAGCCATGATTGCAATGGACAATCACCCGAACCTCTCCCGATCGTCTGTGTTAGGCACGCAGTGAAAATATCGACAATAGCTAAGAATCGTTCCACATTGAAGGGGTCTTCCACGATCAGGCACATAACCAAGGCACCCGGGTTAGCCACGCCATCTCTGACGGGTCTCTCTACAAAACCAGTGACGACGTCATCACATAGAACCAACACCGAAAATCAGGAAAAAAACGAGAAAAATTGACAACACAGATCAGATATAAATGTTTGTCCGTGCGCCACGGGTCGATGTCGCCCGCATGCTCCGGTGCCGCTGCTCCGTCCGGCGCCGCTGTAGTCAGCCCGAGCATAACGCCACTCGACCTGCTCCGTCCGTACACGCTCTCGTTGCTGTCCTTCCCAGTCGGTTCCTCGCTTTCTCCCTCGTTGCACTCAAGGTTCTTGGTCTGAAAAATAAAAATTCTCGCGCCGAAGGGGTCAACCAGCCCAGTTCAGCTCGTCGCCACCTGCTCCCTCCTCCTTTGATGGCGAAGCCAGGTTACTGAGGCAATGCAGCGCCCTCTAGCCAACCTAGGGCCGTGTACATAGTTCCCGTCCACCTTCTGACGGTGTCTGCCTCCGCGCACAAAAAATGAGATGGGCATCGCTGCCTACGCCGACGGCCAGAGGCCCGCGCATCTACATTTTTTCGCCTGACCCCATCAGTGCCGACCCAACTACACCACCACGCGCATGCCTCGCGGCGGATATGCGCAGCAGCAAGAAGGTTTCGGTCATCCCTTGAGGGTGAGTCTAGCCCTGCTCGCCAGAAAGACCCCCCCCTTCACTACAACCCATGTCTAAGCAAAAGCTTGTCGAGGAGCGAGGGGAAGAAGGTGCATCTACAAATTGGCAGCACCTGCGGAGTAACTTTCGTGGTGGGGTACACCCCCACGGAAACTGTCCGCACCACCGCGGGCGGTGATGTTAACGCCAAGGACTCCTTCTGGACTGCTCTCGACGCAGCGATCCGGGAGGTTCACAGCCGTGACCATCTCGTGGTGCTAATGGACGCCAACGCACGCACTGGTAGGAGGCGAGACGGGTGCTGCGATGCCAAGATTATGGGCGCGTACGGACGCGACATTATGAACAACAACGGGGAACGACTCCTTGGACTGGCGTCAGACAACCAACTCTCCCTGACCAACACCTACTTCCGGACACCGAAAGGTGGAGTGCAGCACACATTCCAGAGCTCCAACAAGGGAAAGGAGAAGTACCGCCTCGACTTCATCCTCATGCGTCAGGCGGACCGGCGTCTCGTGCGTAATGTCTCCGTCAAACGTGTCGACTTCAAAGACTGACCACAACCTCGTGCTTACGACTGTCCGCCTCCCCTCCGTGTCGATGATTTCGTGGGGGTATCCGAACCACCAGAAGGGTTGCAGGAACAAATAGATGCGGCAGTAGGATACACCCAAAAATGGAGACTGTCGGCGAACGTAGGAAAATTCGCAGTAGTTGTTGTTGTTGTTGTTTCTCACATTAGCTCTATAGTCCACAAAAAATGGGGAGCCCGTGGTCTCAAAACCCGGCACATACGACGCCGCGNGCCGGAGGGTTCCGTGCCGGGTTCCCGCCGACCAGGCATCCCCCGCCCTGCACCACACCCCAGGGGGTGCAGCAAGACGGGGGGCGAAAAACAAACACATATATATTCCCACAAAGAAAAATGAAAAATCGAAGGACAACGTACACCAGACCAGGTACTACAGCAGTGCAGTATGCACCAGCGCATTAGTGTAGGGTAGGCACCCGCACCAAAGAGGCAGCAGAGGTGGCAGGCAGCCAGCAAAGGAA